TCTGAACCTAAATCCCTAAACTTCATCCCTTATACAATGGCCTCTTCCAAATAACTGTTCGCAACTAGGTATTAATGTTTGCACCTACTGGCGCAGTGGTTAAGAATCCACCTGCCAATGCAGGGGACACGGGTTCAATCCCTGGTCCGGGAAGATGCCACATGCCGCGGAGCAACTAAGCCTGTGCACCACAACTACTGAGCCTCTGCTCTGGAGCCTGTGAGCCACAACTACTGAAGCCTGCGTGCCTAGAGCCCGTGCTCTGCAAGAGAAGCCACTACAATGAGAAGCCCGCTCACAGCAACGAAGAGTAGCCCCCACTCGCCGCAACTAGAGGAAGCCCGCACACAGCAACGAAGACCCAAAGCAGCCAAAAATAAAATAAATATATAAAAACAAATGAAAGCCTAGTTGTAAGTTCAGCTATTTCAACTCTTGATTTTAATGGCTGCTGTAACTAAAAAAGATGCATTACCATGATACGTAAATGCAAATGCAGGAATGATTACACTTACTTTTTTAATCCCATTCAGCAATGATGTGCATTTGGTTAGTAAATTTCCAACTTCCCAAATGCTAATCAGGTGTGGGGAAAGTGCTGCACATTTTTAAAATGTTTAGCAAATGAGTTCAAAACCCAATGAAACATTATTTAAATGACTTTAAATAGGGTTTTAAAATTCTGTTTTGTGGCTATTCATGTAATACTTCAAAAACTGGTGATTAAAGGGAAACGGCCACTCTTTCTGCCTTCTCGGTAGGAAAATTCGTTTCAGGGTAACCAAAGAGCCCCAACTGAATGAGGGAAAGCTCAATTTCCATAAAAGTAAGCCAGCTAATAAGTGAAGGGGGAATGAAGTAATTAGAAAAATGTTATACTGAAACCCTAATAAAATTATTGATTCAGGCAAGTATGATCAATTGTTGTTTAAAACACCAACATGCATGGTTGATGGGGAACTGAATATACAAACAGTTCCAAAGTAACACCACACAGAATGCTTAAATCATAAGGAGAAAACAATATATTGAAGGGATTTGATGGTTGGCACCTAATCCAGTGGTGCCATTTTTAGCACCACTAATGGAAATTTAGGTATTACATGTCTTCTTATGGGATACAACATATACTACTAATGCACAAGCCTATAGGTAAAACTTCCAGTTCACAAGAAATACAAAGAATGGAGAAGCAAGTTAAAAAATACCACAAAGAAGAAACCAGAGAAATTCAAAAGGTGGAACTTTCTACAAGAAAATAGTGTTAGCTATTATAAAAAATCAGTGTTAGCAAAAAAGGACCATGTGTGAGAGAGATTAAGGACACTACCACCACATGCAATGTGTGGTCCTGGATGAAATATTGGTTTGGACACTTTGGATCAATTGAGAAAGACGAATACAATCTGGGTATAAAGATGATAAAACATGTACTAAAGTGAAAGAACAGATCACTAACTAAAAAAATCAGGCGATAAAATTATACTGGTGAACGTATCCTGCTTCTATAAATAAATATAAAAGTATTTTTTAAAGGAAGTTTTTCTAAATTTCTCAAGGGTCCAAATATGGGTTTTGCACATGACATTTTTTTAAAGCAAAATGACCAAGTTTCAAACTTTTATTTTAGAAATACACTCTCAATCGTGAATTTGTTTTGAAAAGCACTTACTTTGCCACTTAGAATTTCACCTTTACTTGAAATGACCCCAAAATCTGGCTAGGAAACAGCCACTGACTTATCACAACAGGGTAGCAAACTTATTATTTTGTAAAATGATATGGTTCACTTACCTTTTTGTTAAAAAAAAACAAAAAATTCAGTTATCTTTTATGTCCCTCAACTCTTTTATGGTGAGTGGTAAAAAAAGATTTTTAGTTGCACCCTAATTTGTTACCCAAGAATCTACCATTTCAGATAGTTGGCAAATCCATTTGCCAGGCCACATAAACTGTAATATTTAGAAATACAATGTATTTGAAAAGTATGGGCATGTCAATCCTATTTTAAGTATTTGAGTATTTTAAGTATTTATAAAGCCTAACCTCTTCTGTTTTTAAGGTAAAAAAATATAATTACTAACACTTTATTCTCTCACTCTCTCCACATCCCCTATTAGGTCCTTTTGAGTACATAAGAATGAAGGGAGAATGATTCCTTTCAGAGGCCCAGAGTTGAAAAGGACAGAGTCAGTCCTTTTAAATAGAATCAGTCCATTTGGAATACTTCCATCCTGTCTGTACTTCCTCCAGACTTTGTTTTTGTTTTAATATTACTACACCATCCTCTAAGTCAGTCATTAAAAAGACTTATTATCTCCAAAATTCCTCAAACAACTCCAGAAAAGGTCATCAGGCCTGAAGATCAATTTTTGGGGAATTCTCACTCATCTCTACAAATCTTTAATCAGAGGATCCAATAGACTTCAACCAGATTAAACCTACACTACTTACTTACTTTTGATGTTTAATCTTTTGGGGTATCCATATCACGTCTTGACACTCCTTTCCTCCTATTAATAAACCTCCTCTTCTTAGAAGTTTTTCTCCTGTTTCCCCACCTAGCATCATTACAGCTCCAAGCTCCTACTTTAGCCAGCCAGTCATGGTGCAAAGACATTTACTACAGCCAAGAGCTGTAAACCTCCTGCCAACCTGGCTTCTAACTGAACAGAGGAATGAGCTCAAGTTCATTCCTTGAGTCCAAATCGCTTACCTGGCACTTTCCTAACCAATCAAATCAGTGCTGACCTGGGAGTGTAAAACCCTGGAAGGATTTCTAAATGTAAAATATATTAACTGTAGAAAAATAAACTTCTGCATGCCAAAATACAACCATAAACAAAGTCAGAAGGCCAACACCAAACTAGGAACAAGCATGCTAACACATTTTCAATCAGTATGCCAAGGGGTTACTGCTTTTTCACTAGCTATAAAAAAACAACAGAAACAAGATCTAAAAAGAGAGATTTCTTATCTATAAAATTATCAAGTGTTTTGTTTCTAAGACAATGCTTGGTTTGCATGATGCCCACAGCTACCCTCTAAGGGGTTCTTTCACACTGAACTTACCATATCTGGCTACTCAAGGCCCCGCCGTTTTAGGGACATCTCATCTAACAAAGAAAGACAAATGACTGACTCCAATGCAGCCCAGGCAAGCTCTGTGTGCTCTGATCAGGAGAACATTCTCTTAGGTGGAACTGCTTCAGCCATCCAGATTTTCTCCTGGGCAGTGTAATGACTTTTACTGTTACACCAAGGGCCATTTCTACACGGTTCCCTTTAATACTTTATGAACACCAAGAATTCTGGCTGTGTCCCTTTTCCTGTAAAGCTGTCACAATTTACTCTAATCCATGGCATTCCTCTCCCCAGTGACTGGCCAAGTAATGGGACCAATTACCCCAGTTAAAACAGCTACCTTCTCCATTCTTTTTCTTGGGACCCTGCAGAGGCTCTTTCCACCCACCCTCCCCCCTCAGGATTTTTACTGCTAAGTACAATAAACATCAGGAGAGATGACAAAAGCCAAAAAACAAACAAAAGTCCTTATCTGGGTAAGCTTAAAAAAAAAATCAAATTTTAACAAGAGATATAATCTACAACCTGTGTTTCATACAGAGATGATAATGAAACTTAGTTACCTCAGAAACATTTCTCTCAGTTACTTTTGTGAGCACAAGTATAAAAACAAAACCCAAAAAGGCCTTAGTCATTGTTAATGATATACCTTAAACGCAGAAAAGGAAACTACCCAACTTTGAGGTGCAATTTCAACTAGTACCACCAAATTTTGGTCTTATCATTGTAAATTCCAGACGTTCAAACTACATGTCAGAAAATTTTAAAAGAAAGCATGACAGAACCAAGTAGCAACCTGGGACAAGAACTTACCTCAAGAACTCTAACACCAATCCTTTTTTTTTTTTTTTTTCGGTACTTGGGCCTCTCACTGCCGCGGCCTCTCCTGTTGCAGAGCACAGGCTCCGGAGGCGCAGGCCCAGCGGCCATGGCTCACAGGGCCCAGCCGCTCCGCGGCATGTGGGATCCTCCCGGACCAGGGCACGAACTCGTGTTCCCTGAATCGGCAGGCGGCCTCCCAACCACTGCGCCACCAGGGAAGCCCACCAATCCTTTTTTATCTGGAATAACTACTCGATATTCTTCTCCACTGAGTACAACAGCTAGCTTCCACACCACCAAAAACATGAGGACCACCACTCTGGAGGACCTCTTAGCTTATTCAGGAAAACCTGTTACTTAGGTACTCCTGAAGATGAATGCAGGCACTAGATAAAATCTGCCTCTAAATAACCACTTTCCATGATATTTACAAATAAATGAAATTCATAACTCGCGAAATACTGGCTATTCCAAAGCATACTTCCAATGACCCAAAAAGGCCAACCACTCAATGTTGTATGTAATCTACACAGTATGTTACCCATTTTCCTACAGTACCGACATGCCATGTCCTTATGGCATGTTTTGGTGTGTTTAGAATCACACCTTATTTAGGAAAACATTGCCTGTATTCAAATTATACAGCACTCTTACCTCATGTGATACACTTTTGATGTTTTTTGGTTTTGTTTTAAATCAATTATTGGTCCTGAGTCCACCTTCACAACTTTACTAAATGGATCACGAGTTAATAAAAACACAGATTTGGGGCATTATTTTCTAACCTTAAGTGCCGTAACACATAAAAAGGTTTTCACACTAGTTGGTCAATTTTTTTTAAAATAGACTTTTTTAGAGCAGTTTTAGGTTCAGAACAGCAAAACCGAGTATAAGGTACAGAGATCTCCCATATACCCCTTCCCCCCTCCATAGCCTTTCCCAGTTGGTCAATTTTTATAAAGCAAAACATGTTCTTTCTGGAAAGAAATCAAGATGTCTAAGAAAAAGTAAGTTCAAAATTTCAACCACAAATTTAAAGTACCACTGTTGTATGTATTTTCACTAATACGTTAGAAAAGTAGTTAAATACTTACCATATAACATCCAACAAGGAAAGCAGCATTTGCCTGTTTTCTCTGATCAGGGCCAGTAAAATGAATAATTTTCTTCCTCATCATTGTAATGGACTGCATAAAGATAAACAGCTGTTAGTATTTCCTTTCTAATTTCAAGTTTTCTAAAACTTTATTTTGTGATTAAAATTAATTCCAAACCTCATAATGTTGAAGCATTCATATTAGCAAGACTTAAAAAGATAAACTTTGATACCCAAAATACCATGTACCTTCCCATAGAAGACATACCCTTGGAGTAGAACAAATGTACAATTAAAGGGTGGGAGAGGAGAAACCTGAAACTAATATGATATCATAAATCAACTACACTTCAATTTTTTAAAAATGTAGGAGAGGAGCTACAAACAGATACACTTTAAGTATAGACTACCTCTGAAAGAATACATAAAAAGCTGGAAAAGGTAGTAGGAGAGACCTTTTCTTTCCTTTTCCTACTGTCTGACTTTTTTTGTTAATCTCTTCCCAAAACCTTTCAATTAACATCAAAGGGTATAAGAACGGGCAAAAATAATTCATTCTGTTAGAAATCAGGATAGTGAATGGGGTAGGGAGGGGTGGAGTGAGGAGGGTGGTACAGAGATAACCAAGAGAGCACAAGTGGGCTCTTCTGGGGTGTTGCTAATGTTCTGTTCTTGATCTGATGATCCAGATGACTATCCATGTATATTCAGTTTGTAAAATTCATTGAGCTGTATATTCATGATCTATACATATTTCTGTATATACATTGTGCTTCAATAAAAAGTTAAAAATAAAAAGGATATGGAATTTAAAAACCAAAGGAACACATGATTTATTAGCTCTTCCTCACCTTGTACTTCACTAATGTGAGTAGACACGTTTCAAGTAAGGGTAAGAAACAGGATATATTCAGTTGAATAAGCACAGTATTCTTTTGCTTCTGTGAGCCAATGTTTGGGTATTTCAATGATGAATGTTACATATTTTCTTTTAGTTGTTTACATAGAGTGAGAAATCCAAGTTGATTTAAAGAAAAACAACAGCCCAACCAGCCCTCAAGCAGCATACACACAAGACACTCTTAATACAAATTCTCAACACACTTTTACCTCTATTAATTGAATAGGAATTAAGTTTCAGTCAGGTGGGATGGTCAACACTGCAAGCTGTTCTGGTAAATAATTTTTTTTTAAAGTTTGAAAAAAGGACAAATATATTCTTGGTTGACCCAAAGGATAAAAGGATGGCCAAGTATGTTTAAAACAAACAAACAAACAAAAAACTTTCAAAATTAAAGTAAAGGAACACCAGTAGGGGAAAAGGAAATTATTTTTAGCTTCTCAGCCCTGTATGAAACAAAAAACCTGCCACTGGCAACTGGAAAAACGGAATGGGGGGAACATAAATACCCAAGGCCACAAATGCTTATATTCCTGTTCCAGCGAGGAATAAAGTCCAGAAAGAAGAGTCCCCATCTCTGTATACATCTCTAGTGAATACAAATTTAATAGAAAAAAGAAAAAGCAACGATGCAACTTCCTTTTTACATATTAGTAACTTCTGACAGATGCTTCTAGCATTTATGGTGTGGAATTTTAAGTTTGATGTTCAAGGGGAAATAGATCTGCCTTACTCACCCATAAATTTTTAGTATAATTTAATTTTTAATTGAAAATGAATTTTATTTCTGTGTAGTAGTTTAATAAGTAATCAGCTGAATAAACTTGTTTTTAAAAAGCACCTGCCCCCCCAAATCCAGTATTTCTACTTGAGAATATACAGTGACTCTTAGAATTGCTAGCGGTATATGAACACCTTTTATTGTACATGACCAACAATTCAGAGTTTTTTAAAATAAATGAATAAGGTCTAAGTTCAAACTAATAGTAATACACTCTTACAATTCAGTGATACAGTCTTAAAGACTGTATGCTGTCTGCCCTTGCTTCTCTGCTCCTTAATCATATGCGTAAAGGGTCATAGTGAAGAGTCACAAGTAGTACAATATCATGCAAGCTTCAAGGCATAATGAAATAAAGTAAGATGAATCCAATTTCTCTTAGTTTTCCTAACACTCCCTATCAAAGTGAAGGCAGAAAGAACAATGACCAAAGGAAGGAAAGCTCCTCTTGTTAGGTGACAGTTCCACTGGCTCAGACAATAAGAGGTTCACTTTATTGACCATCTGAACTTTGGCTTTTCAAGTATATGAGCATCACCAATCCAAACCAGAACCAAATGACCCAAACTTAAGCCATTCATCAACACTCTGGAAAACAAATAGATATACTATGACTTTATAAAACAATAAACCACATGTATGTCTCAAACACCACTCCAGTGAGAAACATTACATTTCCTTTTTAAAAACAGATTTCCCTTCCTCCCTGCAAGATCAGGCTAACAATGATTACTTAAGTGAAATCTTCCGTAAGGAATACTTTACCTTTAATTTCTTATTAATCTTGCAGCAATATCTGTAAACCATTGCTAGATTGAGTGGTCCAAAATCTGCGTAGAAGCTGCAAAAATGAAAAACAAAAATGTGTATGTATATTCCAGATGCTTTGAATATAAATGCCTTTTTGTAGCTACAACATCAAAATAAAGCAAGAAAGCACACACCAAATTATTATAGGTCACACAACTTAAAGGTACTGCCTTACTAATGGAAGAAATACTCTGGTAAAAGATGACTATTAAAATACCTGACAAGTGTTAAAATGCCTAAACCTAACCTCAAATAACAAATAAAAATACTTTCTGAATAAAAAAGCTGTTTTTCCACACATTTTTTTCCACTGGCAAAAACACAGCATCTTAGTACTCTAGTTTATATCTCATTATACTGTAAACTGTTAGAATTTCAAATGTAAATTTTTAAATTTAGGAAGGTTCTTTCATTCTGATTTTTTTCCCTAAGGATCTATTTTATTACCAAGGGTTAAAGCAAAAAGTATCCTGCAACTAACAGTCAACAGATTTGTAATGTTCCAATTTTATAAACATACCTTTAGATTCTTCAAAATAAAAAAAACGTTACTAACAATCTTTGAAAAAGCAATACTTACTTTTCATATTCAAGTTCATTATCTATGCTGAAATAATGTACATTTGATGAACTCTTTGGTCTGCTGTAGAGAATGGCAAAACAAAGGCGATCTGAAATGGAAAAATTGTAATGTTCCTTCCTTCACATCATGAAAAAACATTTCATATATCATGTTGCAACTCTTTTCAGATGAAGTCAAATTTTTATTTTTTTCCCATGCATGTTTCAGATGGTAAGGTTATCAGTGAGTAACTTCAAAATGTTCTGGCTATTTTGGTGGGTAATAATAAGTAAGCAATTTTTAAAAAGGAGAAATTGCCTTTAATGTAAGTTTCAACAGCGGTAAATGACTTTTCATACAGCGATACGGCTTGATTTCTGGAAAACTTTACCCTGGACTAAGAAATTTCGGTAAATGGCAGCATGCATTTGATAGCTAGACCACCAGCCTGGATGACTTTCCCTATGTTTCGCTATGTTTTCAAGACATCCTGAAAAGTCATTTCAATAAGAAACTATGTTTTAAGTAGAGAGAAAACGCTTTCAAAATTGCTTCAAAATTAATGTTTACGGCTATAACACACAAAACAAACCACATGTTTATCCAATGTTCTTAGGGGTCGCTACTTATTTTTTGATTCGGAATCACTACTTTTGTAATGATTTTTACAATCGGACCATTATAGCAGAGGCAAATGAGAGTATTCTGCAGGATGAGTATGAGATGAACCTGCGTTGCATAAAAGCAGTTAGGCTGCTGTGAGGTTTAGCAAGAATGGTAACAGGGTAAGGTTCAGAGGCGCCACCCTTCCTCTCCTGCCCCACCCCAAAAGGAGTTGCCTAAAAATCCTTGGTGAAGCAAAGGCATCCTTAATACCTAGCAGTAGTAATACTAGTAATAGTGCTAGTAGAATACTTAGATTCAAGTTGTGGCAAAATTAAGTACAGCCCTTAAAATAGTAAGGAACAAAGGACGCCAGCTGGCATCCCTTCCCCAAATAGTAATTTAAACAATTTTTTATAATAGTAATTTAAACAATTCAGTACACACAATTGCTGTATTTATTTCCCTATAAACGCCTCAACTTAAATGTCCTGCAACCACAGACACCCAAACGGATGACGGGGCTGACTCCTTTTCAACCAAAAATGACCCTTGATCCCCATGCAGTGACCACGGATTTTGCTCCCTGAGGTGGAGAGCCCACCAGCCATGGTGTAAGGACACAAGGGTCCGAACTGCACACATCTGTGCGGATTCGCCCCAAGGCAGGACCACGCCTGGTGACTAGGAGTCCCAGGAGGCCACCCACTCCCAAGAGACAGCATCGGCCCTGGCACCGAAGTTTAAAGGCACATCTTGGTCATCAATGGGGGCCTCCTCGACCCCCGTGCACTGCCCGATGCCCTCTAAATAGGGGGTGTCCCGAGGGCGCGCCCTCCACACTAACCTTTGATCACCTCGGTCACCAGAGGGGTCCCTGCGCCCTTCAGGCTCATGATCCACAGCATCTGGACGGCGGGGCGGAGGGAAGGACCGGGTGGCCAGGGAGCAACTCGCGGAGAGAGGAGGGCCGTGACTACACCCCCGAAGTTTAAAGAACAAAAAAGTTTAAAGGGACACGCCCAAACACTGGGCACAGCGACGCCCTTCGGCTGGCCACCACACCGCAAACCCGGGAGAGCCAACCCGGAAGTTCAAAACTTCTCAAACTCCCCAGACGGGGTAACGAGGGAGCGGGGCGCGGAAACCAGCCCCAGGCGCCGGGGCTGAGCTTCGCCCCGCCTCGGGGACACCTGGCGGTCGTCTGCAGCGCCAGGGCGCTCTAGCGGCGCAATTCTGTGCTCAAAGTCGGCGTGTGCGGCAAAGGGTCAGACAGGCAAATGCGAAGAAAGCGGCTCCCAAAGCGAGTAAAAGGATTTCTCGGAAGAGAGAAGGGTTCGGCGGTGGATCTGACCCTCAGCCTCGTGCTTGGCCGCCCTTGCCTCCGCCACCAGGGGGCACTGCAGCCAGGCTGGGCTGAGAGGCCAGCGGCCAGGCTCGAGGACCCCGGCCGGCCTGGAGCTCCGTCCTCTCTGGAGTCGAAACCCGCTGAATGTCGGGCTCGCCTGAGTGCTGGTGTCTCATTTAAAATGCAGCACTTTAAAACTGTTCAAAATTTAAAGGTATGCCTAAAGCCGAGGTCATTCATTCCTTTAAGGGCCTCAGATTTCGCCTCAGAAAAATATTAGGATGGTTGAAAAAAATTCTGACACCATGGTAAACGACAATTTATTTTCTAAACCTAAGTTCCTATGTTAGTATCAAGCGAGAAAAAAATAAGTTGCAGTATGAGTACGGTCCCAATTCTGTTATATATAATATGGTAGTGGGATTATGGTTGATTTTTATTCCCTCCTGTATTCTTCTAAATTTCCTACAGAAAAGTGTTACTTTAATAATCCGTGAAAAAAATTTTCAATGACTCTCCCTTAAAACGAACAAGCAATACAGTAACAACTCTTTCCCAAGAATTACACTTTATTTATCATCTCAATACAATATACACATTATATATCACAATATATACATTTTTGCCTCAAAAGTAAAGCTGCATACCTACTACCCTTATTTAAACTTCCAGATCAAAGACTTTAAATGTAAAAAAAACAAAACCATTAATTATTTTTTAATAAAGAATGCCTTTCTAAATGAAACAATCTAAAAGCCATGAGAATCTGTTAAACTAATAAGCATTTTTTAAATGGTCTTCATGGCAATAAACACAAATTCAAGGGATAAACTGGAAAAATATTTTAAGTACATCTCAAGAAGATGCCCAGCTTCAATTTTATGTTATTGAAAAATGCAAATTTAAACTACAAGGTACTACTTTCCCTTCAGACTGGCAAAAATGAAAGGAGTTTGATAAGGCACTGTGTTGGTGAGGTGGGGAAACAGGTACTCTCACTGCCTGTGGGTTAGAACATAAACTGGGACAACCCTCCATGAAGGGCAACAAAGGGCAATTTGGCAGAAATTTCCAAGACTGAAAATTGAACACGGGCAAGATTGCCAAGATGGACAGCGTTATAGGTGTTTACAGGCTGATGATTTATAGGTATGTATCTAAAACACAAATGTATATGATTGTATACGAAATCTTGCATATCTCTGGAAGGAAACACAAGAAACTGGTGTTTGCCTTTATAAGGGGAAACTGAGTATCTGTATATAGGGATGGGTAAGAAAGATTTATTCGTTTTTGTAACTTTTGAATTTTGTAACATATATTACCTATTCAAAATTATGAAGCTTTTGAAAAGGGAACATGTGGGCTAAAAGTGTTTTCCCAAGGCTGACTCTTCATCAAGATATGAAGCATTCAGTAAACGTAGTATAAGACAATATGGAAAATGTCCTTTGCACACATTTAAATAACAGAACTTCTTAGTAACCTCTTGCTTGCTACCATCTCTTGAAATCCAGTTTCTTTTAACAAACCCAAATAAAACTGGAAGGAAATGGGGAGAGGTTTTCCCTCCAAGTCCAAACCTGAAATTCAGTTCCCTAGGAAATATTTTATATATTACAGGTCGGGGAGGAATCACTGATATTTTATGTCCAATTATCTCTGCACAATATATTCTCAAAATTCTATTGTTAGAGTCATATTGTGATAAACCACAACAGAGGCTAGAGTGCTGGGATGAGAGCTATTTATTAGAAACCTGGAGCTAGAAAACAGGTCTCTTTACGTTTTGCTTAAAAGTTCGTGATTAGGGCTTCCCTGGTGGCACAGTGGTTGAGAGTCCGCCTGCCGATGTAGGGGACGCGGGTTCGTGCCCCGGTCCGGGAGGATCCCACATGCCGCGGAGCGGCTGGGCCCGTGAGCCATGGCCGCTGAGCCTGCGCGTCCGGAGCCTGTGCTCCGCAACGGGAGAGGCCACAGCAGTGAGAAGCCCGCGTACCGCAAAAAAAAAATAAAAATAAAAGTTCATGATTAAACTTATAATCCTATTGTAAACACACGTATCCTCCCTTTAATGTGTTTGTTGTCCTCCCTTTAACGTGTATGTTGTCAAAAACTGAAGTGGTAAACTCTCTTCCCTCTATACCCCATCACATAATGTCACCATTCCTGCTTCTTTGACTGATGTAATACAGTAGAAAGAAATGAAATCTCATGGTTTTAAAATACTGACAAAAACATTCAAAATCCATCCTTGTGCCAAATTTGTCTACAGTTCTTATTTGGCTTTTGGGCCTCCCGTTTACTACTTCTTTCTTTAATAAATACTTGTTAAATAAATGAATAACATTTTCCTGCATAACAACTAGCTATCTGGGGGACAGTTAATCATAAAACAGAGAGAGGTATGTTCTAAACCAGAGGTCCCCAACCCCCAGGCCATGGACCAGTACTGGTCCGTGGCCTGTTAGGAACCGGGTGGAACAGCAGGAGGTGAACAGCGGGCAAGAAAGCAAAGCTTCATCTGTATTTACAGGCGCTCCCCATTGCTGGCACTACCACCTGAGCTCTACCTCCTGTCAGATCAGCGGTGGCATTAGATTCTCATAGGAGCGTGGACCCTACTGTGAACTGCGCGTGGGAGGGATCTAGGCTGCGCGCTCCTTATGAGAATCTAATGCCTGATCATCTGAGGTGGAGCTGATGCAGTGAGCTGGGAAGCGGCTGCAAATACAGATTATCGTTAGCAGAGTGGTTTGACTGCACAGAGGCCATAATAAATCAATGTGCTTGAATCATCCTGAAACCATTCCCCCCCTCCCCCGCCCCATCCTTGGAAAAGCTGTCTTCCACGAAACTGGTGCCTGGCGCCAAAAAGGTTGGGGACCACTGTTCTAAACCAATTGAGAAATATATATAGCCGTCAGGTGGCAATGATAATACAGTATCTACGTTTTAGTAGAAATGATTAAAATAACTCTACTATGGACACAATGAACTTCTCACTATTTCTGTTCCCCCCTGGAACTAGACTGACTTCACAAGTCCTGGCAGAGGAAATGGAGAACTAGACTTCCCTATCTCTATTGGATAGGGAAGTCTGCCCTTGGTGAGCTAACTGCAAGACAAGCAGAAGGGAGAATCACACCCCTCGGGAACAAGAGAGAACAGGCCAAAGAACAGGCTCCACCTGAACAGTGACTGTCCCTCAGAGAGGGTCAATAGCCATCGCTCTCATCTATTATTAATCCCTCATTCTTTGAGATAAGTAGTGACCAAGGGGAGCAGAAGAAGAAATGTTCATAAAATTACTGATTAATAAAAAGAAGCAGTACCCCCTAAAACAATGGCAGCTAACAATTATTGAGAGTTTAGTGCCAGGTATTATATTAATAAGCTCATTACAACCTACAAAGCAAATACTACTACAACTATCAATATTTTCCCAGAAAGGAACCCTAACCTTAAAGAGGCAAAATGACTAACCTGAGCAGAGTCACAAAACTTGTACAGTAGCAGAATTAGGATCTGAACACAGGCTATTTGGGTGAAGCCTGAGATTTTTAAATTCCTGCCTCAGAGACTTGCCTTAATATAAAGCAAGAGTAATTAAAACAATACTACTTTAGCACAGCAACATAGAAATATGAACCAAGGCATATATGAAAACCTAGTATATGAGAAAACTGGTTTTTCAAATCAGTCACAAAGAAAGCCATATTCAATAAGGGACAAATGTCTAAGTATGAAAAGAAAATGAGGTTCCAATCTCACATACTATATAAAACAAATACCAGTTGAAATAAGTTTTTAAAATCTTTCAGGTAACTATAAAATTATAGCAAATAATTTTACAATTTAAATGGGGTTTTTAAGCATGACACAAAACTCAAAAGTTATAAAGGAAAAAAAGCAACAGAAACTTACAGAAAATATATAATAAAGGGCTAATCATCACAACTGATAAAAAGCATCTGTAAAGCAATATAACAACCCAACAGAAAATAAAAATCTATAAAGGCTACAAACACTCAATTCAGAAAAGAAATACAAATAGCCAATAGCATATTAAAAGAAAATTAATCTTACCAGTGGCTCAACATTAAAATGTCCAACATCATGAATAGATTACAGAAGAAAGCCACATAATTATGTCATTAACTACAGAAGTCATTAAAATCAACTCATTCCCAATTAAGCCTTTATACAATGGGACTAAAAGAGAACTTCCTTAAACTGATAGATTATCTTCCAAATACCTCTAGCAAAATATAATACTTCATGCCTTAACTTTGTAAGTATCTCCCTGAAATGAAAAGCAAGAAAAAAATTCCTACTACCATTACTCCTATTTAATAATGTAATAACTGGAAATACTCACTGATGCCAAGATAAGAAAAAGAAATGAGAGAAGACTTAGAAAGGGAGAAACAAAATTGTCCTTATTTACAGACGATTGTCTGCCTAGAAATTACAAAAGAATCTGCAGACAAACTATTAGAATAAATAAATAAATGTTTGTAAACATTTATTTATTTCTGGATATAGATGATTAACACAAAAATCAGGAGTTTTTCTATATACGACTTGTAATAACTAATTTACGAAATATAAGTGCTTAATTATTTATGGACATATGGAAAGATAAAGCAGGGTTTTTCTAAAATTTTATTTTATTTTTTTATACAGCAGGTTCTTATTAGTTAGCCATTTTATACATATTAGTTTATATATGTCAATCCCAATCTCCCAATTCATCACACACACCCCCCATAAAGCAGGTTTTTAATGGGAAGATTCAATGTCACAAAGATGGTAATTTCCCTCAAACTAAATGCAACTCTTATCAAAATCTCAACAGAGCTTTCCACAGAACCTAACAAGCTGATCCCAAAATTAATCTAGAAGACCACAGGGCCAAGAAGAACCGAGACCATTTTGAAAACAAACAAGAAGGGAGCCCTTGCCCTACCAAATATTAAAACTTACAATAATTTAGGCTTGTAGAATTGGAACAGATATACTAGATCTTTATCTATTATATACAACAGCCCAGTAAGAGACTACACATACACAGAAACTTCCCTTATGACACGCATTACACATCAATGGAAAAGTAAGAATGCTCAACACACATGGTGTGGTGACAACTGGTTGTCCATATTGTCTGGGGTGGAAGGAGGGGGGAAATTCACGATCCTCATCTCATACCACAGGCCACCAACCCCCAAAGAAGAAAAAAATCTCAGGTGGATTAAAAGCCTAGCTATGAGAAGAAAAGCTTTGCCAAGTCTTAGAATATAGAAAAATAACTCATAACAGTGGAGTAGGGATGGATTTTTTTTTAAACAAGACTTAAAAAGCCCAAACTATAAAGCAAAAAGATTGAGAAATTTGATTATATGAATATGTAATGTTTCTGCTCAACATAAGACCCCAAAAACAAAATTTAAAAAGATAACTCACAGACTAGGAAGATAGGTACAATGCATAAAAGCAACAAGGATTAGTATTCAGAATTTACAAAGAACTATGAATCAAAGAGAAAAAAGCTAACACCCCAACAAATAAATGGGCAGAGGATGGGAGTAAGAAATTCACAAAAGAAGAAACCTAATTGTCCTAC